TTTACTCCCCACGTTCATGAAAGTTGAAAGCTCGAATTGGTCGTCGACGATATTCTGAAAGGACGTCAATTTGAGGCTTTACTTACTTAAAGCAATTCTCATGTTGATGGTAAAATACCACTTTGCTCGTGGAGGGGTGTATCACTTATTAAAATTTTGCCCGCTGAGCTACATGATTGCCAGATACTCATAGCTTTCTTATGATATCTACAAGGATATAAAAGCTGACAGAGATTTCCCATTAGTTTGCCGTCGCAACGATCTCCGGTACGGATTTGATATGCCATTTAGAAGGTTTTATCCATCTCGCTTGCTCAGAGATTTGACTTAACATAGCACCTGGATGAGGATTTGATCGTACTAGTTTTCGCCGTAGGGGCAACAACGTACAATAAAATTGCCGCGTAAATGTTGCAATATAATCTGGACTATTACGTGTAGTAGAATAAAATGAGACTTCAGGAACCATCTAACCGTGAATCTCCTGACTAATGGATGATAAATTAATAGTATAGTGTTATAATCAAGTTTTACAGTGTGATAGGGTCTCAGGAAAGACTCAAGTTGATTCATTTTTGTTATGATTACATCAGAATGGCAGAGTCGTCCATACCTCCAATCATTTCAACCAGCTGTTGTAGCATGAGAATTGAAGTCCTCCAATCATCGCTGTAATCACCGCCTACGTCTCCACCGTGCTCTAAGGTCGTGATCATTGCGTACATGTATCGAACCATTCATGGTGGCACTATTTAGGGCACCAGCTATTATAAATGGCGCAAAATAGCGTTATCCGTGATAGTTCATGCAGCGTTGTTATTGACGGTACCGCAGGCTTATTAACAGAGCGTTGATGCAGTGTATATGTAATTATCCGGCTGGTGCGGGAATGCTCTCCTGTCCACGTCAGCGAGGCCTCAGAATGTTTAATCCCCTTTGGTGGCCGCATACAACACTGCTTTCAAGCTCTCCGATTGGGCCACTTCGCCAAATGCACTATTTGTGTTTTGGCTGAGACCGACACTAAGAGCATCACCTGGGGTTGTGCTGCAGAACAGTTTAAGTTGTACCAACAAGCCCTGCTAAAACGATAAACCGTCAAGGTGTTTCCATGGGGTAAGAGCTTCAAAGCCCACGAAGACAATGTTCATGGAGACAACGTCGTGCACGCAGCACAAAGCAGCTTCTTACGAATCGTAATAGAATTCACAAGAATGATCGTTCTTGGCGCGTCAAAGTGAAACGAAGCCCAAATGGCGCGAGTGCTCTTATTAGGAGCTACAACAATGAACAAGGAGACGTGCACATTGCTGAACTGCGCAGTATTATCCGCTGACCTCTAAATTTTAGTGTGTTCGACGAGACGTATCCTCGCATCTCACGGATTCTCGCTGGGCGTATCAGATGGCGTTCTGGCGACTCTGCGCCCGTCGACATGCAACTTGATGACAGCGTCATTGCGGTGTTGAAGCGACGACATCAATGCAGAGAGCTACAGCAGGCGCTTGGTAAAGAAGAAGAAGGTCTAACTCGTGACACATACGACACCATTATTCATCAACACTACCTTCCCTGCCGAGGATGCTCTCCACGCAGTGGAACGCGTGGAAGATCTACGCAGCGCAGTACTTTTAATGTGGGTAGCTCCCGCCGGCTTGGTATCTCTTTCACGACTCGTAGCTGCTGGTTGCAGCATAAGATGTATAGACAATCTACGCATTTATAATGGGATATGCATTTCCCATTTTTATGGGAGATTTTCAAAAAATCTCTACAGTGTATTCGACCAGGAACGTCATCCTCGTTTCCACTCTAGCAATTGTTATATCATCTTAACTGTCCACTTCAAACCCATCGATATTGAAATCTCGACTACATTGAAGACAAAGTTGTGCTTCGCCCGAAGCAGCTCTAAAATTTTGAGAATTCGCTCTTCGTTCGACGTTCGGAAGTCTGGAACTTCGATTGTAGACGCGCCTCCTGCATCTCCTGCGCCGGCTTCGCGGCCACAACAGATGCTACGAATTTTGAAGCGCGCGCTCGAAGCAAGTGATAGCCAAAATAAATGTTCAGAATTATTGACCAGAAGAGATCAAACAAATTCTTACGAACATTTAGGACCGACAATAAACTGTGTTAATGCTTTGTACAATACCCTTCGAAATATAAGTGTCCAGCTTATTCGTTCACGGAAAACGCTCTTGAGGGAAATGCCAGAGACCATTGACTGTGAAATGTCTTCGGAGAGCTGTAAATGTATGCTCCATTCCGTGAGGCTATTGAGAATGCTGCTTCTACGTACTAGGTAGTACTTAGTGCTGACGCTGCATGTCCCATGATCCATTTTAATGAATGGTTCAACAACCACCCAGCCATCCCCCGTGTTGTCTTCTAGAGCTCTATTGCTTTCACCATGTCTACTGGAGCAGCTGAGAAAGGGGTAAGTACTTATACGAGAAGGCATTTGACCTAAACCACCTTGTTTCATTAGACACAAAGTTAACTCTTAGCGACGCGCAGATAGTTTTATCAAGCTTTCTCAACACCTCGCAACTCCGAATAGCCACGGCCATAACAAAAAAATACTGAGGAAGATAATATTAAGCTCCATTAAATGGAGCGGGTGACGGCATGAAAATAATCATCATTTTTGTAGTCAAACGACACTAGCCTCAAACGTGCAGTCTGGGGTGACTCGGGCTTTGTTGAAAGCACATGACACGTCCTCTAAACTACCTAGCAGGTTCAGCATTGGAGTCATCATGTCCGCTTGCGAACGGAGGCTTGACACTTTTCCTGTTGTGCTGTCCCAGTCAAACAATACTGATCCACGCATGACTAGTTTCTTGTCTAGCATTCTGGCTGCAAGAGGCGACAATTCGCCATGTTTCGCGTCGCAGGCACTATCACTGGTAAGGTGTGGAAATGCCACGCTCAGCGTTTTGCTGGTGATTGTCACGGTGGTAACAGTGTACGCAACCAGAGTGTTTGTTGTTGGCATCTTCAAGCACATCAAATCCACACTAGCGTCGTCAAAGCAATGAGCAAATGACTTCCAGTTTTGTAGGTGGGCATCAATGCCAAACTGCGAGCCACTCGCAACGTGTGGTGCCATGTTCTCGTGGAGAAACTTAAATGCCATGTTGTACAACGTTCCAGGCGAGGAAATGAAGTAGTTGAACTGGCGAAAGTACTCGGACGCCAATGCCCAACACGTTGGCGTTGTTGGAAGGCGAAAAAAATCATCGCACCTCTTCTCGAGATCTTCAATTGTCGATCTAAGTTGTCTAATGGCATTTTCAAGATCGTTTTCAATTCGCCTCTGCCTCAGTCTGTAGCGCGCCTGGTTGATCCGGCTACGCTCTCGGTGGCGAAGCTTCTTCTTTAATGTTTCAGTCGTAATGGCTTGCTGCAATTCAGCCGTGATGTGAATGTCGCCTCCTTTGATCTTTTTAAGCATGATCGTTGTGCTTTGGAGATCAGACGATAGGCACAAAATTCGTCTGAGGTTCGAAGAGTAAGCAGGCTGACCAATAA